AATTAAAAAACTAATAAACTAATAAATTAATAAATTGATTAGATAAATAAATTAATTTATAAATTTATAAATTCATAAATTAATTCATTCGTTAATGTAACAAATGTCCAATTAGTCTGATATTGAATTAGAATGGATCTGAAATATTATGATTTCGATTGGTCAATTACCTTAAGTTTCAATACCAGTATAACGGTCACCTGTACATTAAATTTGGGCGGGGCGTGGTCAGTGCAGTTCTAATTACAAATGAAAACAAAGGAACTAGCTTTCGGATAATAACTTGATTGGATAGCAACATAAATGACTGGCAGGTCTGATTGCCCCCTAAAAGAATGTTGACACCACTTGAACGTGTGAAAAACATAACCATCGAAGGTCATAAATTACGTATTACATCCTTTTGTTCACAGAGATCAATTAAGTTTTATTTCCCTTCATGATGGGGCTTTTTCATAACAGCATTATTATATTAAAGACACACACACACACACAGAAAAAAAAAGAAGAAAAAAAAACACGGTTTAGAAGAATGATAGAAATTAAAGAAAATGATGACGTTGATCATTTGAAAATAAATATTTCATATATAATAATGCAAGTTATAATAATTTATACATGTGCGCCGTTTGTAACAGAAATTACAGCGTTTAGGATGTTTTCTCGTCTGTTTCATTGATCTCTTTCTTTCTTTGTAATAATTGAATGGCTATTTGTGTAAAAAGCGGCGTTTTTGAAAATCGTGTAGGCACGTTCATTTAGAGCACTTAAATAACAAATCATTTTTTACATAAATTTAACTTGTACAACACGCCAAAAGAAACAAAACAGCATATATTTTAATGTATTAGCGAGGAAAAGAAATACACATAAGTAAACTGACATGAAGGTTAACAAAATAAGGTAGTGATTTTCCTATGTCATCAATTAATATGGCGGCAGAAACTACCGATTACTTATTTATTTATTATTTATTTTTTATATATTATCTCATTCATTCATTCATTCATTCATTCATTCATTCATTCATTCATTCATTCATTCATTCATTCATTCATTCATTCATTCATTCATTCATTCATTCATTCATTCAATATAAATAGGTTGATAGATAGATAAATGTATTTCTTTTCCTCGCTAATACATCAAAATATATGCTGTTTTGTTTCATTTGGCGTGTTGTACAAGTTATACATAACCAAACAAATATGCTTTTGATATTTAAGTGCTCTAAATGAACGTGCCTACACGATTTTCAAATACGCCGTTTTTAACACAAATAGCCATTCAATTATTCAACTGGATTGTAAACAAAGAAAGAAAGAGATCAATGCAACGGACAAAAAACATCCTTAAAGCTCTAATTTCTGTTACAAACTATGCAATTTACGGCGTACATGTATATATAATTTGTAAATTTACATTATTATATATGAACTATTCATTTTCAAATGATCAACATCCTCATTTTCTTCTTTCTTATTTTTTATCATTCTTTTGAACCGTGTTTTTTCTGTGTGTGTTTTGTGTGTGTGTCTATGCTATTATGAAAAAGCCCCATCATGAAGGGTAATAAAACTTAATTGATCTCTTGGAATCAAAGGATGTGTAATATGATACGTAATTTATGACCTTCGATGGTTATGTTTTTCACACGTTCAAGTGGTGTCAACATTCTTTTAGGGGGGCAATCAGACCTGACAGTCATTTATGTTGCTATCCAATCAAGTTATTATCCGAAAGATAATTCCTTTGTTTTCATTGGTTATTAGAACTGCAATGACCACACCCCGCCCAAATTTAATGTACAGGTGACTGTCATACTGTTTATGAAACTTACGGTAATCATCCAATCGAAATCATAATATTTCAGATCTATTCTAAATCAATATCAGACTAATTGGACATTGGTTACTTTAATGAATGAATTAAATTATTAATTTATAAATTAATTAATAACTTTATTTATTTAATCAATTTATTAACTTATTGGTTTATTTATTTATTAATTGATTTATAAATTTATTTATTTAATTAATTTATAAGTTAATTAATTTATTAGATTATCAATTTATTGATTTATCAATATATTAATTCAATTATTTATTTTCTATCTATTTATATATTTATAATTAATTGAATAAATGAATGAATGAATGAATGAATGAATGAATGAATGAATGAATGAATGAATGAATGAATGAATGAATGAATTTATTTATTTATTTATTTATTTATTTATTTATTTATTTATTTATTTATTTATTTATTTATAAAATAAACTAATTGATAAATAAATAAATAAATAAATAAATAAATAAATAAATAAATAAATAAATAAATAAATAAATAAATAAATAAATAAATAAATAAATAAATAAATAAATAAATAAATAAATAAATAAATAAATAAATAAATAATCGGTAATTTCTTTTGCCATTCTAATTGATGACGTGGGATATTAATTTGTTAACCTTCATGTCAGTTATACTTATGTGTATTTCTTTTCCTCGCTAATACATTAAAATATATGCTGTTTTGTTTCATTTGGCGTGTTGTACAAGTTATATTTATGTAATGAAAACAAATATGCTTTTGATATTTAAGTGCTCTAAATGAACGTGCCTACACGATTTTCAAATACGCCGTTTTTAACACAAATAGCCATTCATTTATTCAACTGGATTGTAAACAAAGAAAGAAAGAGATCAATGAAGCAGACGAAAAACATCCTAAACGCCCTAATTTCTGTTACAAACTATGCAATTTACGGCGTACATGTATATATAACTTGTTAACTTACATTATTATATATGAACTATTCATTTTCAAATGATCAACATCCATTTTTTCTTCTTTTTTTTTAAATTTTTTATTGTTCTTTTAAACTGTGTTTTTTTTCCTTTTTTTCTTTTGTGTGTGTGTGTCTCTCTTATAATTATGCTGTTAAGAAAAAGCCCCATCATGAAGGGTAATAAAAGATAATTGATCTCATTGCTAATTAGAACTGCACTGACCACACACCGCCCGAATTTAATGTACAGTTGACTGTCATACAATTAATTAATTTATTCATTTAATCAATTTATTAAAAAAATATTTATTTATTAATTCATCAATTTATCAATCTATTAATTTATTTATTGATTTCTTTATTTAATTATTTATTTATATATTTATATATTTATAATTAATTGAATGAATGAATGAATGAATGAATTTATTTATTTAGAATTAATTAATTAAATTGACTGTCATACTGTTTAAACAATTTTTTTAAATATTTCTACAATGTATAATAATACTTATTTATTTAAGTCTCATTCATGCACATACACAAATAAAATTCATAAGCAAACATAAAACACAGAAAAGTACATGACCATTGAATCATTGAATTATAAAAGACTAGTAAAACATTTATAATAACACGAAACTATCATACTTATCATAAAATTATATCCTACTATAAATAATAACTACACAGAACAAATACTATAAATTAATGGAAAGAAATATACATTTACATATTTATATGATTAAAAAAAAAACAGTCGCTATTAATGTTTATGAAACTTAAGGTAATAATCCAAGCGAAATCATAATATTTCAGATATATTTTAATTCATTATTAGACTAATTGGACATTTGTAACATTTATCATAAACCAATTAATTAATTTATCTATTTAATCAATTTATTAAAAAAATAATTTATTTATTTATTAATTCATCAATTTATCAATCTATTAATTTATTAATTAATTTATTTATTGATTTCTTTATTTAATTAATTAAATAAGTGTATTAATTTATTAGTTTATTAATATATTGATTTATCAATATGTTAATTTAATTATTTATTTTTCTATTTATTTATATATTTATAATTAATTGAATGAATGAATGAATGAATGAATGAATGAATGAATGAATGAATGAATTTATTTATTTAGAATTAATTAATTAACTAATAAATAAATTAATAATTAATTAATTGAGTAAATAAATAACTAATTGGACCGGACCTATTTCATTTTAAAAAGGTCGGAACCGAATATTAACATGTAGAAACACTTTTACTGTTAAACTTTCGATCCAATAAGTAAAACAAAAAAAAAAAGATATAGATAAATTCTCCCATAATGTTATTCTCCCATCACGCTCTAATGGGGTATTTCTCCAAGTTAGCCACCATGGGAGATTTCTCCCATTTTAATTTTGGGAGGTTTCCGCACCATTTTAATTTTGGAAGATTTCTCCCATTTACTAAATGGGTTAGTTCAGCCAATGGGAGAATTGCAAAATTCTTTAAATATATTCCTCGAATACTTATAAGTTTATTATAAGTATTATATATTCAACATATGTAAAAATATTTAGAAAAAAAAAAATATTTTTTCTCCCACGGTTTTATTCTCCCACTTTAAGAAATGGGGTTTCAACCCCACTTAAGTCCCAGTGGGATACGTAAAAACCCGTGGGAGAATTGAAAAACCCCATGGGAGGTCACACTTTGAACGCTCACACAGCGTTTAATTATTGCGCTATCTTTGTGTAATCGGTCAATTATCGTCTATTTTTATCCAAATTACTGTTTGATTTAACTTTTTGTATTGAAACTATGTTAAAAAGGGTAGTTGAGTTTGCGAAAATTCCGGATTTGCAAACTTATTCCGGAGGCTGTTCAAAGAGAAACAGGTACCTGCTTCAAACAAAAAGACAACGGATGAAGTATAAATCAAGGATGACCTGCTTAATTTCAAGAATCATCATAGGGACTTGGCCATTTTTTAAAATTTCTAACAGTCCATTTATAATATTAGAGATGGTTTGACCATTATATTTGAGAGTAAGGTAAACAACAGAATAAAGCCTGACCAGACAGCACAGACATACAGGATGACTGAGTTTGTTGTTGTTTTTTTTTTTACTGGAAGCAAAGCATTTGTAATTTCAGGATTGTAACTTTAACTAGAACATTTATTTGGAAATAATACCCAGTACTGTCCTGGACTTGTACCATCCACCCATTTGAAGGTATCGGAAACCTTATCATACTTGAGTCCTATCCAGGCAGTCAATATCTTTGACTGTTGAACTGAAGAAGAAAAAATAATAAAAATATGAGTAAAAACTTGTTGGCCTTTTCTCTTATACTTTAGTACAGCTTGCACTCATTATAGCAAATAAGTCGTCCAGTTAGCTCAATAGGTAGAGTGTTGGACTTCGAATCGGGCGACCCGGGTTCGATTCCCGAACGGCGCGGGTCACTTTCATTGAGACTGATCATGAAATCCTTTCTATGGTCATTTGCACTGTACCTCTGCTCTGGCATGTACAGAAATTTCAGTGCAGGCAACTAGTACTGGTAAACTGCTTGACAGCCTGTCAGAACCCATGCAGTGGTTGAACTGTGCTCTGGTGAATTCAATGTGGCTTACTGTTGTGATCCAAGGGAAAACTACCAACACCACCACATTACAGCAAAAAAAACATAATAAATTATTCTCCCCTTTAACAAATATTGCTGTAATTATCTCAATTTCAGCACTTTTTATTTCTATACAAATCAAGAATAAATTATATAAATTGGACTTCACAAAAAAACTGTTATCTTTTTTATTCCTGTTTCTTTCTTAAATTTTACTATTTCCTTAAATTCAACAAAACAGTATAATAATTATAATATTTGCTTTGCATCCCTCTATATTCATATTATGCTTTTATATCAGTATGTCCGAATACAATGTATAATTTTCATTGGTTTATGCTGAGCAATAAACTATCTTGTGCACTCCTGTACATACCAGTAACAAATGACATCTCATATGGGTCTCCAATGACAACCAGATAAGCACCGGAACTCTTGCAGAAATCATTGGCATCATACCAGTTCTTCAATGACTGGTTCCCTACTGGACCAAAATAATAGCACTCTGTCTGATACAGGACCCAGTCCTTATCACAAACATAGTTCACTAAAATTATGTAAAAATGATATATGATGACATATAATCCATGAAAAAGATTAATATTGCTGTTTCAAGGTATTTTTAGAGTACAACTTCAGAGTTTTTTAGACGTCATCTCCAGGGGGAGTCAACAAATCAGTTCTTATTACCAGATTTACATGGGTATAAAAGGTCGGGTCTTGAGACCATGCTAATTTAATGGAGCTAATGCCTTTAAAATGCATTTACTTAGAAAATAGATATCAATTTCAAGTGCAAAGAAAAATGAATATCTATTTACACTCTTACATGCTAATAAAAAAAGAGAATTGATAAAAAAAACATGCTAAACTACATTGAGTGTAGAAGTAATTTTCCCGACATCATTTGGTTTACTGACATCATATGGCATGTAAGCATTCTTTTTTTGTGCTGTGCATATCATGTTATAATACACTTGATAGCCCTATCTGTTTAATAGGGGACTAGTATGAAGCATGTTAGAATTAATTTTATTTTGAACATTTGATGTAGAATCTTCATGACAATTTAGTTCAAGAATACACCAGCATGGTCACATACTATTGGGGGGGGGGGGGGGGAAGATTGATTTTTTTTTACCAATATCGTAACATTATCACATATTTTCTTAGGGTTGGACATTATTTAGTAACAAGGTAACTGTAAGAGTAAACAAACCTGGCGGAGTTATAGGGTTAAAGGGAACTGTTGTGATGGACATCTCACAGAAGAAAGCTGTTGGCTTGAAGCAATATACATTGGACCATCTTGAATCCATTAAACCTGTACAATAAAAATACAATAGTTCAATATACATGTGTAGTCAAACAATAAGGTTGTCTTTATTAACACTTTCCCATCCTGAAAATGAAATGTGGTAAAATTTTGTCACCGGTATAAAGCATTGTCAGACTGAAACATGCAATCTGACCATGCTTGCTCTGTACAGTTGGCTGACTAACTTAAAATGTTCATCCTAATATCACCAAAGTTGATAATGGACAGTTTCCAAAAATGGAAAGCAGACAGGTCCATTAAATTCAGAAGGTTTAGGATTATCAATATACTCATATATAGAAAAATGTATCTTTACTGTTGAATTGTAAAATAAAATATTCATTTTTACACATTATGCAACAGTAGCAAAAGATCCTTCATTTGTTTGTTTGGTTTGGTTTTACGGCATACCAACACAATTCAGGTCTTATAGCACCAAATAGGAAAGATGATTTGGCTATTAATGAGTGTTACAAAGTTAACTTAAAGCAACACCATGGACCAAAACCACCTCACCTGCTGGATTTAAGATATGTATAGACTGCAGTAATTCTAACTCTTTTTCTGCAGTAATTCTAACTCTTTTTAGGCCCCTCTAATGATCACACAGGGTAAAATGGTGGCTGCACATCTGATTCCACATCAGTAAAGGCAACCCTTCTGCTACAAGAAGCCCCATCATTTGTAGAATATAGAATCAAATACTCAGTCTTTTTCCAATAATTACCTATGTTTGTTCAATCAAAGTCAGCAAAATATTGTTTTGCTTGCATAGTGTCACTATCTTTTGTATGCTTAAGATATGCACTTACAATTGTCACTTAGTAAGGGAGAAATATGGTATGTATTGAGATTTTTAACCCTTAACCACAAATTTAAATTTTGTAGTCACTTACATATAATACATTAAAAATATGTACACACATGAGTAACACAAACTTAAGAGTTATACCTTTAACTATGAGACCACAATCAAATCTTTTTGCAACAGGTTTAGGGAAGTTTCTGTCCCAGAGGTTATAAAAGCTCGCATTTTTGGCTGATCTTCCATCCAGCCACTGCAAAACATTTGATTGGTTCATATCTATAAAAGAAGAATGTACATGTGACTGGTTCATATCTAAAAATGAAGAATGTACATCTGACATATTCATATCTAAAAATGAAGAATGTACATCTGAATGGTTCATATCTATAATGTACATCTGAATGGTTCATATCAATAAAAGAAGAATGTACATCAGAATGGTTCATGTCTAAAAATGAAGAATGTTTCAATCAGTCTTACTATAGTTTTTATCTAAGTTTAGATATAACTCTCTTAAACAGATTTTAAATAACATTATAATTTACAAAATTAAATAGTTTCACAACAATAGTAGATATATCACTCATTAGTATCCTACAGACATGTAAATGAATCTTATCTGGGTATTATACATACATGTACAATCAAATACAACACATCATATACTACAAACTACTGACGATCAACAACAGCAGCTATGGTATCATGAAAATATTAACTATGTTATAAGCTATGGTCAAAAAACAATAAAATTGTATTGGTTACCTGAAAATCCTAACCAAGCTCTGTCCACTTTTAGTGAATTCATTGTTATATTGATGAAAGACTGTTCTTTTTGACTGAAAGTAAAACAGATATTCCATTCAAATCTATGCACTAGTAGTCCATCAGTAAAGCCATACTGACATAATACTGCAATCTGGCTATAAACAACACTTAACATCTCCTTTATTAATCTTCACATTATTTTTTACACTATGAAAATCTCATATGTCACGGTTCAGAACTTAGGGGAGAAGATTGTAAGCAGCTGGATAGCTCAGTCAGTAGAGCCGTGGTACGGTATTCCAAGAGTCACGGGTAAATAATGTAAATAATTTTAGTGAACAAATATTTATTAATAATCAAAGGCACATTATGCCTCGGGAATGAATAAAGTTTTGCATCTTTAGATAGAGCAAACATTAGTTTTATAACATTTATATAATGGTTTACGAGCATGTTAAATGGTTATCAACTGAAAGAAATAGTGCTGATTGTAAAATTATTTGCCATGAAAATAGCAAACTGTAAAAAAAAAACTACATGTAGTATTTTGACTTCCATACAAAATACTACTAATACTGTAATTGTGTTATCTTTCAAAAGGCAACATAGGCAAAAGATGATTCAGATAATTGTCCAATCAGTAATATTCTAGAAACTAAAGCAGGACATCAAACAAGAGGGCCATGATGGCCCTGAGGTCGCTCACCTGTATATAGGCCCCCCACCCCGGGCCAATTTTTACCCAAGGGCTTTTATTTGTTTATTTGAACAGACTTGGTAGACACCCATAAGAAGATGTTTCATGCTAAACATCTAAGTTCTAGCTCATTGGCATTTTTAAAAGAAGATTTTTAAAGTTTTTACTATAAACAATGTCACCCCTGGGGAAGGGCCAGTTTTGACCCCCGGGCGTTTATTTTAACAAACTTTGTAGATATTTACTTAAAGATGTTTCATGCTTAATATCTAAACTCTAGCTATTTGGGTTTTTCCAAAGAAGATTTTTAAGTTTTTGCTAAACACATATAAGGAAAATCAATGACCCCCCCCCCCCTGGGCGGGGCCAGTTTTGACCCCAGGGCTTTTATTTGAACATACTTGGTAGACACCTATTAGAACATGTTTCATGCTAAATATCTTAGCTCTAGCTCTTTGAGTTCTTTAAGAGAAGATTTTTTAAGTTTTTACTATATGCATATAGGGAAAATCAATGACCCCCGTGGGCGGGGCCAATTTTGACCCCAGAGCTTTTATTTGAACAACTTGGTAGACACTCATTAGAAGATGTTTCATGCTAAATATCTTAGCTCTAGCTCTTTGGGTTCTTTAAAAGAAGATTTTTTAAGTTTTTACTATATGCATATAGGGAAAATATATGACCCCCTGGGGCAGGTTCAATTTTGACCCCAGGGCTTTTATTTGAACAAACTTGGTAGACATTCACTAGAAGATGTTTCATGCCAAATATCTAAGCTCTAGCTCTTATGGTCCTTTAAAAGAAGATTTTTTAAGTTTTTACCATATGCATATAGGGAAAATCAATGACCCCCGGGGCGGGGCCAATTTTGACCCCAGGGCTTTAATTTGAACAAACTTTGTAGACACTCACTAGAAGATGTTTCATGCTTAATATCTTAGCTCTAGCTCTTTGGGTTCTTTAAAAGAAATTTTTTTAAGTTTTTACCATATGCATATAGGGAAAATCTATGACCCCCTGGGGCGGGGTCAATTTTGACCACAGGGCTTTTATTTGAACAAACTTGGTAGACATTCACTAGAAGATGTTTCATGCCAAATATCTAAGCTCTAGCTCTTATGGTTCTTTAAAAGAAGATTTTTTAAGTTTTTAATATATGCATATAGGGAAAATCAATGACCCCGGGCGGGGCCATTTTTGACCCCAGGGCTTTAATTTGAACAAACTTGGTAGACACTCACTAGAAGATGTTTCATGCTTAATATCTTAGCTCTAGCTCTTTGGGTTCTTTAAAAGAAGATTTTTTAAGTTTTTACTATATGCATATAGGGAAAATCAATGACCCCCTGGGTCGGGGCCAATTTTGACCCCAGGGCTTTTATTTGAACAAACTTGGTAGACATTGCCTAGAAGATGTTTCATGCCAAATATCTAAGCTCTAGCTCTTACGGTTCTTTAAAAGAAGATTTTTTAAGTTTTTACTATATGCATATAGGGAAAATCAATGACCCCCAGGGGCAGGGCCAATTTTGACCCCAGGGCTTTTATTTGAACAAACTTGGTAGACACTCACTAGAAGATGTTTCATGCCAAATATCTAAGCTCTAGCTCTTATGGTTTTTTAAAAGAAGATATTTAAAGTTTTTTCTTTTGGTTGCCATGGCAACCAGAGTTCTGCATGGAATTAAATTCTTTGAACAATTTTTAAAGGTGACCACCAAAGGAACATTCCTGTGAAGTTTGGATGAAATTGGCTCAGTGGTTTATGAGGAGATGTCATTTAAAGCAAAAGTTTACGGACGGACGGACGCCGGACGGACGGACGCCGGACGAAAAGCGATCACAAAAGCTCACCCTGTCACTTTGTGACAGGTGAGCTAAAAATAATAAGTTTTTTAAAAAATAAAAATTAATGCATTTCTCTGGCGTAATGGACCTTTAATATTTTATAATAAGCGAAACAAGCAATTTAGTGAGGTAAATTACACTGAGAGTCAAGTGCAAGTATATCTAGAAATCATATCATCAATGAAGATACAGACTTTACTGTTATCCTATCTGTAATATAATCTAGATAATGTCAAATAACTACAACAAAGTTACTGAGTTCATAAAAGGTAACTGGATAAATGTCCTTAAAACAGCATGCCTCCAGATTCAGGCTAAGTTCATGAAAATTTTGAAAATGTTATTAAAAGTAAAATATTGTTGTGTGAACAAAGAAGGTAATTTACATATTACAAACGACACTTACAATCCACCTTAAAAAAAATTTATATGTCAAAATATGCAAAAATAGCACTTACTGCATTAGTCACGCAGTTGAAATATGGTGATGAATAGTGCACAATCAGTCATTAATTGCACATAATAGTAAATTATTACTTGAATTTTGAATATTTTTACTTTTCTTAAAATCCTTTCTCTCAAGTTTGATTTTCTTGAAATATTTTGTATCATCTGGAGGCATGCAGCTTTAATAATAATATTACAATATTATTTTATGTACAATGTATATCAAAACAGCTGTGGAAATTTCTTTTCTCTGCAGAATTTAACAAAATATTCATGGTTTAATATAGGCATGGCTTATAATCTATTCCAAAAATAATGGTCCAAAAAAGCACTGATCAAATTCCTGTGACAATAAATATACTATGATCCAAAGAAATATTTAAAAAAAAACACAAAAAAAAAACCAGAAACAAAACTTGCAAGGAAATATTCATAAACTGCATGTAATTAAAAGATGTATTTACTTATTTATAATAAGCAGCGTGGCCCCTATACTCTCACAGTAAGTTTTGGCATCAAACCAGGTCTTTTTGGCTGTATCTACAACATTAGGGTCATAACACCTGTCTTGATTCTGTAACCAACCTGGTGGACACACACCTGAAAATAACAAAACAGATTAATCCTTTAAAGGCACATTATGCCTCAGATTAATTTTTTCTTCTTTAGAAATTTGGAAAAATACGAGTTGAGTTTTATTACATTAAATAATATGTTTCAATAATAGTTAACAGCATTTTAAAGATGCTTATCGTCTGAATAATAATGCAATGAATGTGAATTGCTTAGTCATCAAAGTAGCAAAACTTTCACTTCCAGCAGGTGTCTAGTGCCATGTGGCAGCTGACAAAAGTTTCCCGTACCTAATTTTAGTGTTGTTATAATTTTCTGGTCCTTCGGGTTCATTGATTCCAACATTTTTAGGGGGCATGAGGGATGTTACACTTTTTATTATCCCTTATGTGCAGACTCAATCAAACCATGTCTGCAATTTTCATGTTATTTTGTTGTGATTAATGCTTCCAAGGAATCACCCTTTATCCGATTTTTTCCATACAAAATACCAAATCACTAAAACTGTATTAATTGCTAAAATGAAACAGAAGCAAAAGATGATTTAGTTAACTGGCCAATGAGTAACTTTTTGGACACTAACAGGACACCTGAAATAAAAGCTTTTGAGAAATTAAGATAAAAGCAATTTTGGGGCATAATGGGCCTTTAACCTATTAGAACCAATTTGATCAGCCTTTCAGAACCAGCCAATCAGATTCCTAAAGATTTCTTAATCAGTTTTCAAACCAACAATTCTGAGTAATTAAGTAATCTTTATACAGTATCATAAAGACTTACCGAGAGATCTATTACAAATAAACTTGAGTTGTGTATCACAGACATAATTCCTCCATGCCCAACCATCTATAGGAGAAGTTGCTGCACATGTAGAGCCATTTTGTCTATAAATAGAAATGATGTAATAGTGATAATAAAAAACATCTGAATATAGAACATGTATATGAAATTCTTTGTTCATAAATTTGAGATTTTTTTTCTTTTTGTTTCAACAATGTATGAGGGAATAACATTACCACTGGGAGATTTGTAGTGAACATTGTTAAATGCCACATTTAAAGGGACAACATTGAGGTTGTTTTGGGTTTTTTTATATGAAGGGACTGGAATTTTTTTTTCAGATTTGTGTCCCATTAAAATGTTAATGGATTTGTCAGAACCAATAACTTGTATGCAAATTTTCAGATCATTCCCTCACCTGCTTTTCTAGAATATTCATTTTTATTGTGGAAATAATTGACCAAAATTGAAAAGCTTCAAAGCAGGATAAGAATTGCACTTACATGTACTTTTAATTTAATTTCTGTATTATTCTTTGCAGATATTTTCATTTTAAGTGCTTCACACTTGACCTATACAACATTTCAAACTCATAGTTTTTTTTTTTTTAGGATTTTGAGCTCAGTGGTCTTCGAGCTCCTTTAAGTCTAAAACTTTCAATTGAGTGAAATAGACATGGTGCACTATAAAAATATACTTACAGAATTTGGTTACCATAGGCGTACCATCTTGAATACCTCATAGTATCATTATTGATCCATCTCCAAGTTCTTGGCTGAACCTTAAATACATCAAACAATCCAAAAGTTTAACCAAAACAACAAGAGCCGGTTGATCCGGGCGATGCTCCTCGAATAGGTTTTGGACACAGGAAGTGATACCTCTTGTAGTGTAAGAGTTATGTCACAGACAAAGTTCAAAGTGTAAAAACAACCCAAATGTTGCGCGTGACACATTGTCTCAATATGGTGATCATTTCTGTAAAATAGTTATAAAATCCAACTTCAAATAACAAAGTTATGGGCTGGATATGATTTTGCTGCAAGGTCATGCTGTGACCTTGACCTTCAAGGTAGCGACCCAAATGTTGCATGCGACAAGTCGATTCAATATGGTGATCATCTCTGTGAAAAAGTTGTTAAATCCGACTTCAAGTAATGAAGTTATGGGCCAGACACAATTTTGCTGCAAGGTCATGCTGTGACCATGACCTTCAAGGTAGCCACCCAAATGTTGCGGGCAACATGTCCTCTCAATTATGGTGATCATTTCTACGAAGTAGTTTTGAAATCCGACTTCAAATAACGAAGTTATGGGCCTGACACAATTTTGCTGCAAGGTCATGCTGTGACCTTTACCTTCAAGGTAAAATAGTTTTAAAATCTGACTTCAATTAATGAAGTTATGGACCGGACACGATTTTGCTGCAAGATCATGCTGTGACCTTGACCTTCAAGGTAGTGACCCAAATGTTGTGCGCGACACGTCGTCTCAACATGGTGATCATTTCTGTGAAATAGTTTTAATTTCCAACTTCAAATAACAAAATTATGGGCCGGACACGAATTCCGGACATTCTTAAGGAGGGGTGTTCTTACCAGAGCTACATTATGGGGTTTTCTTTTGTTATTTCTTTTGTTCTTTTTAACCCCACAATGCAGAAAATATCCCCACAAAAGAAACGGAATGAATGACATCAAAGACATCTATTGTTATAAGAACAATAGACCAAACCCCATAATGTAGCTCTGGTTTGTAGGGACTGACGGACGGAAGGGTGGACGGATGGACAACCCGACGACTAAATGCTCCCCCGAAATTTTTTCGGGGAGCATAATAAAACAATATACAGGTAGATCTACCCCATTTTTTTTTTTTTTTTTTTAGAATGACCCGTCTATGGAACAGAATACAATTTTTTTGTTTTTTTGTTTTTTTTTGGTCACAGGCAACGATGTACATGTATAAGATAAATTATATAGAGTTTATACATACAGTATCAGAGAGTCCTATCCAAGCCACATTGTCTAATGTACGGCATGTTATAAGACTATCAAGGCTCCTAAGTTCATCGTAGTTCTTGAACAGAGTAAGATCCCCTTGGTTGGCTTGGCATGTTAGCCTAGCGTTATACCAGGATTGAGGGGTGTCAAAGAATTTTAGACATCTACCGTCACGGTACTGCCACCCATCGGCCAGGTCACATAGATCTAACATAGCTGCAAAGGGGAATTAAAAAAAAAAGTACTAAAATTTAATCTTGAATTTAATATTCAGTAAATAAAATAAGAAAACTTAAAATAAAACAAGCACAATTCTAATTCAGATACACAAATCAATTGTAAAAAAAATCACTTTTTGGCCTCATATTGACAAGGAACAAATATGAGTAAGGATCATTTGATTATAATGTTTATTCTATTTCAATATGTTATGTAGCTTTAATCTGCGTTTAACTTAATGACATCTTGCTGTTACACAAAAAACTATTCTGTACATAAATTTATAGTAACAATTAAAAACTGCTTATCGGGAAAACCTACATATTTTTGAATAAATTGAGAAAAACAATACAAAATATTTTAAGTATGAGAATAAAAATGCACATTTCTCAAATATTAAACATAATTTTTACTAAATCAGTATCAAGATTTATGTTCCATTAAAGTCATCTCTTTAAATTCAATTAAACATTAAACATAATGTAGTAATAGACTTTCAGAAAACATAAAAATATGAAGTGTGATCCTCATAAAATTTCTGATTCTTAAAGGGACTCCACTGAGGTTTTTTGACTAGATGGGACTTGAAATAATTTTTTGAGTTTAATCTTCCATTTATGTAGGTCAAGACCAATACCTTGTGTGCACAACTTCAAATAATTTGTGAACTCCATTTATCAAAAAAATTATGAAAAATGACCCTTAATTGAAATTAGCGTTGCAATGATTTTCACTCAAATCGGGCGAAGATTGGCACACAATATGATTTTCAATTTATTTCTGACTATATTTCTTCTGCATAATTATCTTTCTGCTTTAAATGTCCATGAAAGATGATCTATGAAACAAATAATTTTTTTTAAGTTTTTAGACTTTTGGACCTTAGTGGGGTCCCTTTAAACTTTTGTGATCATGTGATCAGGGTAGTTTATATACCTTTAGGTCTAACACATATAGTTCCCCAGCCATCTGTACATCTTCTAGCCTGTATAGTACCAGTATCAGGCTTGTATGGGATCAATCCTGCACATTTATTGGAATTACTATTCCTGTCTCCTTCCTTTTTCCTATACCATGGACTGAAAATAAACACATCTATATCACAGAAATGCTACATAAAATAAGGATAAATACATGTACTTTATCATAAACTATCTTTAAATTAGTGTTCAGATGTTTTAAGCCAAAGTAAGCCTTCTAGTAAGCTCAATAGGTAGAGCGTTGAACTGTGAATCTGGCAACCCAGGTTCAATTCCCGGACAGCACAAGTCACTTTCGTTGTGATTGATCATGAAATCCTTTCTACAGTCATTCACACTGTACCTCTGCTCTTGCATGTACAGATGAAATCAGTTCCTTGCATAATTGTAGGCAGCTAGTACTGGTAAACTGCCTGCCCAGGAACAATTTGGTGGCTGAACTGTGCTCCGGTAAATTCAATGTGGCTTACTGCCGTGATCAAGAGTGAAAACTACCAACACCACCACCATTAAGCCAAAGTTTAAGCAGTTAGTTTATGAAAACATTTGATCTACCACTTGATATTAAGATTTTAACCATGGCCACCTCACCATCAGCAAAGGGCTGGGGACACATTGGATTTGCTGTTGGTAGATCACAGCAGTCACTTTGCACACCAAAGTACAGTTCAGCCACCACATTGTTTCTGAGCAGGCTGTCAAGCAATTTATCAGCACCAGTTGCCTTTTCTTTCCCAAGGAACTGTTTGTTTCTGTACATGCCAGAGCAGAGGAACAGTGGGAATGACCACAGTATTTACCGATAATGTACCCCATCAATTTTGTAAGCATGTACATGATACATACTTAAACTGCCTATCAAATTATAGATATCGAACTATTCAATAAGATGCTTAGAGCAAAAAGAGGAAGCAACTCACAAATTGTGCAAATTGTTAACCAATCACTGTACTATAATACTCACACATTGCACATAGTGCAAATTGTTTACCAATCACAATCACTGTCCTGTATACTCACACATTGTGCACATTGTTTACCAATCACTGTACTGTATACTCACACATTTTGCAAATTGTTTACCAATCACCATACTGTATACTCACACATTGTGTAAATTGTTTACCAATCTCCAAACTGTATACTCAACTCACACATTGTGTAAATTGTTTACCAATCACTACACTGTATACTCACACATTGTGTAAACTGTTCACTAATCTCTACACTGTATACTCACATATTGTGTAAATTGCTTACCAATCTCCAAACTGTATACTCAACTCACACATTGTGTAAATTGTTTACCAATCACTACACTGTATACTCACACATTGTGTAAACTGTTCACTAATCTCTATACTGTACACTCACACATTGTGTACATTGCTTACCAATCACTATACTGTATACTCACACATTGTGTACATTGCTTACCAATCAATATACTGTACACTCACACATTGTGTAAATTGTTTACCAATCAATATACTGTATACTCACACATTGTGTAAATTGTTTACCAATCACTATACTGTATACTCACACACTATGTAAATTGCTTACCAATCAATATACTGTATACTCACACATTGTGTAAATTGCTTACCAATCAATATACTGTATACTCACACATTGTTTACATTGCTTACCAATCAATATACTGTATACTCACACATTGTGTAAATTGTTTACCAATCAATATACTGCATACTCACACATTGTGTAAATTGTTTACCAATCACTACACTGTATACTCAAACATTGTGTAAATTGTTCACCAATCTCTATACTGTACACTCACACATTGTGTAAATTGTTTACCAATCAATATACTGTATACTCAAACATTGTGTACATTGCTTACCAATCAATATACTGTACACTCACACATTGTGTAAATTGTTTACCAATCAATATACTGAATACTCACACATTGTGTACATGTTTACTAATCAATATACTCACATTACATTGTGTAAATTGTTTACCAATGATTTAGACTGTATTCTCACACATTGTGTAAATTGTTTACCAATCACTATACTATATACTCACACATTGTGTACATTGTAAGGTGTACCATCCATAAATGTCCATCTCCTGTTGATCAATTGCAGATTTGTCCAATACAGGATCCTTGCACTCTGTGCTAATAGATTGGTCATCCATTGCTGGAAGTATTATTATCTATGACATTTTTATATTTTCAAAACTAAATTCATTCATAAAAAAAAACTTAAAGGAATTTCATTGAGGTCCAAGAGCCTAAAAACATAAAATTTTAATTTCTTACATAGATCAGCTGGCCGGGGCACTTAAAACAGAAAGATATACAACAGATGATTAAGGAAAAAAAACACTAAGAAATAAAGTGAATATCATATTTTTTGCTATTATAAGCCTGATTTGAGTGTAAAGCATTGCAATGCTTTTAAGTTTATGGTCATTTTTCACAATGAGAAATAATTATTCTGAAAAAAAACAAACAAACAGAGTGACGGAATGATCTGAAATTTTGCAAACAAGTTATTGTTAATTTCAAAAAAAATTATTTGCAATCCCATAATGTCAGTAGAGTCCCTGTTATATACATCATAAAATTGATTATCAATTCCAGAAATTTTTCATTAAGTAAATCAATATGATGACTATGTCCAAGAGCCTACGTTCAAATATTGCTGGATAGGTCATTGTATTAAGTTCCACATCTGAGTAATGCTAATACTGAATAGGCAGTGATATTAATTATACTCTTTGGTCAAAAACATATTTAATCGGCAATGTTTACTTTAAGCAATAAATGAAGTATAAATGTGCCTAACTATTCAACAAGAGCTGTCACAGGAGACAGCGAAGCTCAACTAATAAAATACTGGACGCAATAAGAAAGACAAAACTATGAAAGAAAAATCAATTATGTATAATTATGTATTTAGTTATAGTAAAAAAATAACATTGTTAACAAAAATTCCAAGATCATGGGGAATAATTCTGGAAATAGTCACGGTAGAGCTATGAACCTTAAAACACAACATGTATGTAATGAAAAAATATATATATTTGAAGTTTGAAGTAGATACCTTACAAAGTAAAGAAGTTATAATATTTCTTAACCCTTTCACTGCCATAGGGACGGCTTAAGCCGTTTCTATAATAATCATAATAATAATTATAAATTAATAATAAAAATAATAATTAATATAAAGAAAATTATACCATCAACAAAAATTCTTATTAAACTAGCATATTTGGAAACATATATAATTATGATAATACTAATAACAAATAATAATAATAATTATATTAATTAATAATACATGTATAGTAATTTTTTAGAAAACCCTCTGGCAAATAGGTGATCAATAAAACAATTACCCTCTGGCAGCGAAAGGGTTACAGAAAAAACCTAAGTTCAAAGAGAGATAAATCTGTAAATATTGCTTCAAAAGTTATGAACCTTATCACAAAAAAGGTAATTGATGATAAGGAATAAGTTTTTGAAGTTTGAGGTTTTGTTTGTTTGTTTGTTTTATTTTGCGCCTTTTCCCAACAGTATTTCAGTCATATAGGCGGGTAGTTTCCTAATATAACCATCGTTTCTGGAGAGTTACACCAGTACTAGACTACCTTCCTCCGCGCTAAACTACCAAAGCATCTCCCGGGGATCGAACCCACGCCAGAGAGGTAACTGGATTAGAAGTCATCGACTCTAACCCCTCGACCACGGATGCAGATACCTATAAAACTTAAAAAGTTATAGTAAAACATAACATTTTTTAAGTAAAAAAATCTAAGTTTATGGGGAGATAATTCTTGCAATATTGGTGCTACTAGAGTTATGAACCTTAACACATAACATATGGTTAATGATAAGGTACATATATTTGAAGTATGAAGTTGATCCCTTAAGAAATAAATAACAGTAAAAAATAATATTTTTCAAGGAAAATTCTAAGTTCAAGGAGAGATAAATCTGAAAATAGTGGTGCTAGAGTTATGAACCTTAACACATAAGATGTGGTTGGTGATAAGGAACATATATTTGAAGTTTGAAGTTAATATCTTAAGAAATGACAAAGTTACAGTGAAAAATATTTTACTGCACCAAAACTTTAATCTGAAACCTGGACGCGGATGCAGACACAGTAGCCGAGTAGGACAGCTCTCACTATACTTTGTATTGTTGAGCTTAAAATTATTTTTAAAATGACTAATGATTTAAAAACATTTGATGCTTCATGTTTATAATTTTTAATATACCTGCATATTTTACATAATTTCATCAATTAATTACATCAAACTCACAAAAAATCTATGGAAAAGGATAAATACTAAATATAACCCGTTTTCAGTACACATAGATCTATGCTTATAAAGTTTTCTTTTTCTAATTCTTTAATATGTAAAAATTTTATTAACTTATTAGTTTTATCACTCCGTGGTTTTGAGCCTGTAAACTGGAAATGGAATAATGTCTTTTGCTTTTTAAACAAACTGGGCATGTAACGTTGGGTTTATACTATTAGGCAATCAGAAAAATGTACTTTTTTTAAAAACAGTTTTAATTTTGTGTATGTGATAAAAGAATATTATACTCGTGAAAGTTCATTACTAAATTTATTGAACATGTTGAATAAAATAATATTATGCTCCCATATTATAATTTTATTCAACTCATTCAATAAATTCAGTACTAAACTTACACTCATTCAATAAATTATTATTGAGCCGCACCATGACAAAACCAACAATAGTGGGTTTGCTATCTGCATGGATCCAGACCATCATGCACATCCACGCAGTCTGATCAGGATCCATGCTGTTTGCTATCAGTTTTTCAACTTGTAATAGGGTTTGTAAGCGAAAAGCATGGATCCTGATCAGACTGGACGGATGCGCAGGCTGGTCTGGATCCATGCTGGTCGCAAACGCACTATGTTGATTTTGTCATGGCGCGGCTCAATTTTAACTTACTAATTCGTCAGTTGAATGCCATATCCATAATGTAGCATTTCTAGAAGTACAGGCATGCTCTAGATCATGATGATTATATCTATCAACGGAGACATAGTAACAGTTGTCATAATACTCGTACCATCCAGGTTCACACTCCCCATATATACATGGTAAAGCTGAAATACAAAGGCCAAGGTCACATTGCATTTTATGTAATATATATACAGTTGTACAGCAAATTCAAGTTACTTTTCATATAATTATTATATTAAATATAATTTTATTAACCTTTTGGGGGGGGGGAATTGTTAGTTTCAGGAAAGTTCCCAGGCTTTAATTGGGAAAAACTATATCTTGCTTTGGGAGAAAAAAAATAAAAATAAAAGAAATACTACCTTAATATGAGTCATACATATCACAAACTGTGGGAAAAACTCTCCGCATTTACAACATTGTCCCCAATTCAAATGTTACAGGATTGAAATCCCCCATCATTAAAGAACACTGAAAGTTATCTGACAATAGGTGGCATACATGTGAACTCTTCCACTTTTAGCGGGAGACTCCCACTTTCTGCAGCCATATTTTCAATGATTTTTCTTGAAATAAGGGGTATTTTCACAAATTAAAGAAATCTCCTTATTTTTGATGTCAGAACTTCCTTCTTTGTTGATTGCAAATTCTACAATTTCCCATCTTTTTGAAGTAAAACCTCCCATTTCATCATTGAAAACTATTCACATGTAGGTGGGATCCTTATTATTTTCTTAGTATTTTAAAGTTTAATCTATTTCAGTTCTTTCCTTGAATTATGTTTCAAAGTTTCATATTTTCATCTTTCTCTCTGTGCAATCAAAAAACATGTTAATATTTCAAGTTATTATCTTTAGTATCAATACAAATAAATCAGGGCAAAATTATATACATGTATAGTCTCAATAAGATTTAATCAGTTTAAATGACTTATACAGACTGGTTTTTTTAATAATAAAAAAATTTTTTATATGACACCCGTATTTACACACTTAAAAAATAAGAGTTTTTTC